TAGGCTAATATACTACTGTCCTAAGTAGTAGAGTAGAGTAGAGTAGACTAGAGTACATAGCATTCCATCATATCAAAGCCAGATCTATTAGACTACAGTACACTATCATCCCATTAATCAGACTCAGCACCAGTCCGTAATAGCCCACTCGTCGCCGCGGTCCCCTCCTCCTCATTCGGGGCGTCCGTCCCATCCGAGTCCCAATCGTCCAGAGTCACTGCACACCTTAGAATTAGATCAACAGTCCAAATGCAACCAGACAAGCAAGGAAGGAGTGAAAAAGAAAAAAAAAAAAAAAAAAAAAAGACATACCATAAGGTTTAATGAACAGACTCCCCCCCAAAGCAGCCGCAAACGCCGTCGACAGACAGATAAACACCGTCTGCGGACACGACCCCACCGTCCAGCTGTAGATGAGATTGCAGAGCGTCGGCGCCACAATGCGAGCCAGCGCATGCAGCAGCCCCTTCGCGCCGAGAATCTGCCCGATATGATCCCGCGGGACGTGTTTCGTCAGCGACGACTGCAGCACCGGCACGCCGAGCCCGCCCAGCGCGGTCACCACCCCGGCGACGATGAGGACGGATCCGCTGCGCGACAGCGCGAACCCGGCGTAGCCGAGGGCGTCGAAGAGCAGCGACAGCCGGATGACGGCGAGGTCGAACCCGTCCGACCCGGACACGTCGCGGGTGGGGTCGTCGGCGCGCGCGCCGAAGAATCGCGCCGCCAGCGGGTGCACCACGAGCAGGTTGAGCACCCGCACGCTGCACACGATGAACATGTACAGGCTGGCTTCGACGGCGCCCCAGCCGAAGAGGTACTCCGCGTAGATGACGATCACGGCCGAGGCCCCCATGGCGACGCCGAAGGCGACCGTGTCGATCGTCGCGAGGAGGAGGATGTTCCGCCGCAGGGCGGGACTCGCCCCGCGTCGACCGGGGAACAAGAGGCCCGGCCGCCCGACGGCCGGGGAGAGGATCGCGAGCGGGGCGATCAGCTTCCGCGGGTGCAGGTGCCGCACCATGGTGAGGACCGTGCTGCGGGCGAGCTGGCCCTTCCGCGCGAGCGTCGCGTGGTGCTTGGCCAGGGCGCTCTCCCGCTGCGCGGCGGTGAGGGACTCGGGCACCACCAGGCAGACGGCGACGAGGACGAACGACACCAGCGCCAGCGCCGCGTAGAAGGCGTCCAGCATGTGGCCCGTCTGCTTCAGCAGCACCGCGACGAGCAGCGGCCCGCCGGCGATGCCGCCGAAGAACGTCCCGTACATGTAGCCAAAGGCCACGCTGCGGCCGTCGGTGGCGGTGCAGTCCGAGATGTAGGAGGAGGTCAGGGCGATGACCGCCGTGAAGGAGCCGCCCACCCCGTCGAAGAGCGCCGAGAGCAGGAGCACATGCAACGGGGCGGTCTCCGCCCGAGCCGCCATGGCCACGATGACCGCCTCGCCCAGCACGGTGGTCAGCACCGAGAAGGCGAGGATCCGCACCCGGCCGTGGCGGTCGGACAGTCGGCCCAGGAGCGGGCTGACCAGCGCCGACAGGATGCCGCCCAGCAGGTTGAAGTAGAGCTGAAACTGCGCGACCAGCGACTGCACCTCGGGAATCTGACACTGCCGGTTCTCCCGCCCGGGCACGACGGGGAGGTACGTGAACCCGGGGTTCTGGGCCTCTCTCTCGGCGAGGTAGTCGCGGCAGACGAGCGAGATCATCAGGTTGATCTTGGGGACGGCCGTGCCGCCTACCCCGAGCATATACAGCAGCAACAGCGGCATCAGCCAGTGAATCTGTAGGGGGGGAGGAGAACATTAGTCCGACGCCCTCAATGGCCACACTGGCAACGTCGACATCACCATCCGACCGGACCACTCACGCTGGGCCGTCTCCACCACGGTCTCGGGTCCTTCCCGGCCGTCTCCAAGTCACCCCCCGCGGGGTCGGCGGCTTCGTCCCGGGGGAGGAGCGGCGTCTGTTCGTCAGCGCGTTTCGGGTCTCCAGGGGACGATGACGATGGGACCCGCGAGTAGTCCAGTGCGTCGGCCTCCGCCGTGAACGGAGCCGGGGTGTCCATGATGCGGAATCGTCGTGACTGTGCTCCTACCGACGGCGATATCAATCGATCGAACCACGGACGGAGGACTTGAAATGAACAAGCGTAGAATGCAAGGTGAATTGACGGGGTTGTCTCTCAGTCTCCATCCCTCGGCTGGAAAGAGGAATGCGCGCGACGCAAGGGCGATGCGATTTGCGAGAGATCAGCGACGCAGGGGGATGGACAGGTCCGGACCATACGGCCACTTTAAGTCACCGAGCTGATCGGGCAGAATGACACGGATTGCAATCTGCAATTGGAAGCTGATGGGGGGAGGACGAGGATTGGTATTTAGGCTTTCACTCTCGTCTCACAACCCAACGGTCTGGCGTCCAGCGCATCCGACGTGGGACGAATCAATGCCCGCCTCGTTAATTATCATGGACGCCTTGTCGTTTAATCAGTTATCTAGCGTGTCCTGACTAAGAGAGGTCCGCTGGAGACGATGATTTGACCGGATCCATCCGCTGCCGTGCCAGGAAACGGTTGATTCGTACATCGTGACGACATTGGGTGGGAAAAGTGTTGCATTTGCCAGGATGGTTGGAGAGCATTACTAATCCAGATCAGATGCAACCATACCAGGTTAGTAGACGATGATGATAAGAAGAAGAAGAAGAAGAAGAACAATAATAATAATACACTAGCCAGGACAGAAGAATATAGGACCTAAAGACTTCGTGTATTTAGTAATCATATCAGTGGTAGCCTGGCTGTCAACAGACAATCTCCGC